GGGGGGGGGGCCAAATGAGCAAGGCGAAGCAAGTGAGCGACCGTTAAGCCTCCGATTGTGATGGGATGGTCCTAGCTTTGACCATGGTAGGAAGAAGATGTCGCACACCAGAGACCTGGGGAGACAAGGCAGTCGAGAGCACCGACGAGCTGAAGATTGGTCACTTTTCAAGGTCGAGCTTGAAAGCGCATGCCCCGTGTCGAGCGCCACGGAAAGTTTCTTGAGTGTTTTAGATTGTGAGTTGAAACGGCTGCGGGAAACGTATCCAAAAATTTAGGTCACGGGTGACAAGAAGGGAATGAATTGGGGGAGGGGGAAACAAAAGGAAAAGCAAATGATAGATCAATTGCAAGAGGGGAAAGCAAAGAGAGAGAAAGAAGATAGTGGAGAGAGTAGTGAGCAAGTAAGAGAAAGAGAGGGAGAGAGAGCGTGTGAAGAAGATATGGAGACAACAGATGTGGGCAAAGGATGGAGTAAATGAGCCGTAAAGTAAGTTCCAGCCGTCGCTGTCGCAATAACAGTTTAGGGAGCAAGTGGTTTTACTGGACGGACCCGAACTAGTGGCCGCAGTACCAACGAAAAGGAATGATGGGTCGGGACTAGTCCGTAGATAGTGAGTAGTTGAATAGTAGTAGGAGTAGAAGTAGGTATGGATTCAATTCTGGGGAAAAACGAGGGTAAAACACTGGATGAATCGGGAAAAAGCCAACGATCACAACCAGCACTATAAAAAGAGCAGCAACAAACTACTACAAACTCCACACTAAGAGGAAGGGAAAGAAATTGAGACGGGGCAGACTCGAACAGAGAGAAAAGAGAAAGAGAGCGAAGGAGAGGGATGAGGGAAGGGTACTATACTAGTAGTAGAAATTGAAGATGGAGGGAAAGGAGCGAGACGAGACGATCATCAAATACTGGCGATGCCAATCCCAGCCCAGTTCCAGACTTTATTTTACGGTACACCAACAACACGGGACGGCAGGGGTATTGAGCGTATTTTCCTCCCCCTCTCCCAACTGCATCGGATGCCGTAAGGTAAACCGCTTCAGCCAGCAAGTCAGTCACAAAACTCAAAATGGTAAAACCTACGTTGTTTTTTTTTTTTTTTTATACTATTTTTTATTTTCCTTTCCTTTCTTTTCTTTTTTCTTAACTTTTTGACTTTCTTGTCCCGCCCACGTTCGCCGTTGAAAAACTTTCTCTGCTTTTCTTTTTCTTCCTTCGGGAAGTAAAAGGGCGATTTTTCCATTGGCCCTGCCTGAGGGCATTTGTTTTAGTAGCTAAGTAGCTGTAGGATTAGTATTGATTGACAGAATCATTACCGGTGTCAGGAATTCTTCCGTTCAGCAGTTAAGGTAACAGCTAGACACTACTACATTACTACTACTTCAACTATGCTTGGACCTCGCTCCTCGGCCCCAAAAAAAGACCTTACGGAGTAAACAAATAGTAGTTAACAAAGTCTCAGGATTTATCATCCTGAATCCTGAGCTCCGCCTTACGGCTCTCTTCCCCGATGGTATTTCTACATAGCAGTCGGCCTTACGGAACCAGAACCAAGCTTGTGCTGTGTATGCTGTGTATGTGTAAGTAAGTAGTGTTGACATTGACACCTTTCCCATCTGTCGTGTCCCGCAGCTGCAGTAACAACATCATCGTCATCGTCATCCCCCCAAAGTGGATATAGCATACTTTAAAAAAAGCAACATGGGTTTGAGATCATGATCGAAGGGAAGATGGAAAAGAGATCCCTTCTCCTTGCCCCCCCCCAAAGAGGCAACCGAGGGAGGGGAAATTGAACTAACCTCCTAATCCACGGGATCGTTCGATCCCGAGGCAGTTGAACCAAAGATAGACACTATCATCCTTCGTGGGGAAAACCGATACGTTGCAATCAAGAGGGAATACGCAACAAAAAGCAAAGGAGTTAGTTCACCCCCCTCCCCCTTTCGCACAGACATTCAATGGCTTGACTGCCTAACTCATGAGCCCCCAATTGACCGAACTTTCCTCCCCTATTAACCGTCTAGTTAGTCAATTGCCCCTTAAACTACTACCACCTACGCAGACCCAAGATACCTAAGTGAGTAACAGGTATCACCAAAAATGGGACAGGGGAAGACCGACTCGGATACAGAGGCAAAGACAGAGAGAAACAGAGTGAAGATGAGTGGGACTTCAATCCTCGATTGCTTTCCCTTTTCGGTCTTTAATTTTAATTACTATTATCTGTCGGGGTCCATAAGTTTGCGCCGTGCGCTGATCGATCGGGCTTTTGCCTAGACATGGACTCGAGATGGAAAGAGAGACACAGAGAGAGATCCCTCAAGGCACTAAAACTCCTCCGGTGCAATAAAACAACGCACATGGGCTTCCAGTCATGGTTCTAGGGGCTTCTGTCGAAACAACAGGGGAATAATGGGTAACATAAGAAAAAAAAAGCAAACATGCTGATTAGCGGTCGGAAATCGTCTCCTCGACGCACACACAAAGCTGTTGTTGTCGTTGCTTATGGAATGATGAGCTGAGACGATAATTTAATGAATGATATGCGTTCTGCCTTCCCTAAGACAATTAACTAAACGATGCCGCAATGACCTACAGAGTCCACTTTGCTACAGATTACTATCGATTATCTATTTCCCCAAGGGCCCAGAATCCATAACATGATAATTAATCTATCTGACCGTCGAGCACCGAGCTCTCAGCTCGGGACTCTCGGTCAGACGCGATGATCTCACGGGGACTTCCGTTGGGCAAGTATTGGCGGTGGGTTCGATGGAACCACGAAGGACTGATAGTGAATCAATTGATAGGCGATGGATGCGATGTGCAACGGGATCATGGATAATCGAAGCCATACATGGACTTCGGTCATTATCTGGGAAAATTTCTCTTGGATTCTTTCCACCCCCCCGCTGGAGTAAGACAATTTCCATTTGCACCGTTACTCTTCGGCGGGTTACTCTTGCGAGAGAAGTCAGAATATTCGCGCGTTTGTTCGGGGTAAACTCCATACAGTCAGCAGGCGAGCACGCTGATTGACGGGTTCATTGTGGACATGCATACGTACCTACATGCATGCATGCAGCTACTGGGTAGGTACAGACAACCTACGGAGCACAGTGCCTAGGACTACCTAGTGCATAAGCAGTCCTGAGACTCCATGAACACAAACAGCATGACATCCGAACAGCCTCGAATTTGACCGAGGGATGTTGTCCCTCTCTTCCTTCCTTTCCCTTGTCCCGACAATACGAGAGAAACGTCAAACTCAGGCACCACCGGATCTTCATTCGCTTAGAGGGAAGACGTCGGGGCCCAGTTTCAACGTTTCTCTCCACCGGGCAACAGAAGTCGTGCTAGCCCTAGGTTACAATGTCTTGACTGGACGCCCGACGGAAGCTTTCTCGGCCTGGCTGAACCTTGTGAACGCCAGAGCGGATCCTGTGTGTCGGGATAAGCTGGTTGACTTGCCAGATTGGTTCGGGGACCCAGAGGGAAGCCACGGGCTGGAAGGGGACGCTTGAACCATGGTTCTGGTAATGGCAATTGGGTGAAAGGTTGCATCCGCGCCAGGCACAAACAAACAATTCCCAACATGACAGGTATAACTCTAATTCAAAATAATTTCATAACTGCTAGCTCAAGGGTGGGAATACACATATACATACAGCCACCACATCCCACTCCTAAGTATCTACTAACTGCGCTCATTTCCTGCAACTACTGGATCTACCTGCTGGAATTGGAGGACTGCTCCGACCGGAGGAGACGGTGGAAGACGCGAACGGCGCACAAAATCCGCCCAAGCGGTGGTGGATTATATCCACTTAACGTGGTGAAATCGACTCATCATATTAAATCGACACGCGACCATCCTGGTCGGTCCCCATCTTAATAGACAGATTCATGCAGTGACCAGGATGCCCGGACTTGCTAGACCCAGTGAGGATATGGACAATTAACAGTAGTGCTACTCTCTGTTCCACCGCGTGCGGTTCAGTCTTAGGTACCGAGGGACACCAACAGAAAAATTACCACGCGAGCCACCTGCGAAAGTAAATAGTAGGACGCGTCGCTTCTCAGCAAGTGTCATGATTGTTCAGTCGGTCTCAAGTCTCCAATGGGTCTTGCCTCGGGCCCGAGATGACACAATTCCACACATGTGCTTCGGCCGTCTCCAACCGACAAACGATGGATGGATACTTTTACAGCGTCCGTTAAAGTCAATTGGAAACGTCATATTAGCTGTCAATTGCTACTTCCCCATGGTCGGTTATCCTTAGTACGGAGACTATGGACTCTACGGGGTGGACCTAGGAACCTGGAGCTGAAAAGGAACCATTGCAGGATGAGAAGGAGGGGAAAAAGAGGGAGGAGAGGGGAATGAAAGGATTGATGGATTACTCGATTGAGTCATCCCAGATCTCACTTCTCAGATTGAGTGCGAACACACCGCCAATATGTTTTCATCTTGACTAACCCAGAACTTGCTCATGCGCCTCGTACATGTACCTGCATCTCTCGTGCAGCCCGTCACGTTCCCTAACCCCCCTCACGTTTCTTTCTTGTTTTATCTTCTTTTTTTTTTTTTTTCTTTTCTTTTTCTTTCTTACATGGACCGGCGGTCTGGATGTGCATCCTGCTCGTGGGAGGATCTTCCCAGCCAGCATGGAGACGTGTCCAAGATGGAGTAAGTCACTCCATTGACTGGGGCAGCTGTGGACAGGAACACTGCATGAGAATCGGTAGGAATCCGCCTGCTTCCAGCCGTCAATGACTACTAATAATAATGGATAATTCCGACGTAAGTAGCAGTTCTTCCGGTGCAGCTGAGGCTCGTCAGCTGATCCACCGAGGGTCTTTTTTGCCCTCCTTACGTATATTTTACTTACATACCTCCCAAACCGGTATTGAAGATACCGAAACCGGACCGGATACCCACCATCCGCACCACTCTTACCATACCATACAACTTGGTACTATACTTATCCTCCTCCATCATTGTGCAGATACCCACAGTAAGGCCATAATGGAGAGAGCCCCATTGAGAGATAATATATTGCAGATAAGAGAAGCCACACACGCAGAGAGAGAGACAAGAGAGTGAGAGAGAGAGATGGGGAAAGAAAGAAGGAGAAAGAGACTGACCGAAGAAAAACCCCTCAGACACACATACACACACGCACACCAACCACTAACAAAGAAATCCCCAAATCAAGACCACCACCAACAATTTCCCTCAATGCCACACACACACGCACACATATACACAACATCCCCAAAACTAGTCCCCATCCACATCTCAAACCTCAAACACAACAACTTCACACATCTCGCTTCAGCCCCAAAAGGCAGGCAGTAACACCACCACCAACCTCCTACTTTGTAACTACTACCACACCACTGTCTCAGATCCAACCTTATTAACCACTGCTACACCCACCCCTTTCTTTTCCAAGTTACACTTATCCTCCCCTAGCGTGTAGCACCATCCAACCCAACCCACCCCCCTCCTCCTCCCCTTCCCTGCCCCCAACTTCTTTCTCCATCGTTCGAAGGACTCCTGACGATCCCTGGTGTCTAGACTCGAGACTAAGGACGATAGGTTGTAGCCCAGCCCTTTCTTTCGCTGTTATTAGTACTGTGGGTGGTGGGGGTGGTGCTTTAGTTCGGTTTAGTCTACTTAGTCTAGTTTTAGTTGTACCGAGTCAGTAAACTAAACCATTTATGACTGAATGGGATGATGGATGGATCGGGGGTTGGTTTCCTTGATTGATTGATTGATTTGCTGATGCGTATCGTTTTCGGTATGTATGTTTTGGTATTTATTCTCTATCTACTACCTCGACTTCTATACTTATACTCTCTATACTTGGGTTGATATAGACTAGTTACCTTCCTCGCTTACTTACTACTAAGGTAGTATGTTGGAATAAGAAGGTTACTACTAGTAGTAAGGTAGACCACTTGCTGAACTTACTTCAGGAACATTATAATTGGATTCAATTGAATTGAACTACACCTAGCATAGTAGTATATACCTGCTATACTACTGGCTGGGGTTCAACATCACTCTTACTATATACAGCCAGACAGTACATCCATAACAGCATCAATTGCTCTTAGTAGTTCATGCTCCATAGTAGTATAGACATTCCTGCCCCGGCCCCCCATAGTAAATACCGATAAGTAAGTAAGTAGGTAGTAGTAATAATATCTGAAGTATCGAACATCCAATCCCAACGCCATCTTTTCAAATACATGAATGGAAAGTTGGAATGAAAGAGAAAAACAATATAGAGAAAGATAACAAGCAAGGCACACCATTCGTAAAACTACAAGTTCCTTCTGCACTCCTCTCCTCTCCCCCCCACTCAACAAGCTCCTAAAGAGGTAGTAGTAGGTAAGTAAGGTCTAGATCACTCACTTACTCAACTCACTCATCCTCCTTCATATCCATATCATCATCGCCACCATCGTCATTGAATAATCCATCATCGTCGTCTTCGCCCCCATCGCCCCCAGTTGTGGCCCCTTCGCCCCCTCCTCCAGCCACCACCGCCCCATCATCCTCATCCTCTTCATCCTCATCATCATCAGCCACTCGTCGATTGACCTTGGCCCGACGACGCTGCACCACATCCTGCTCTTCTTCATCCTCGTCATCATTCGCCCCAGTATCACGCATTGCATGATCTTCATCATCATCATCAGCACCACCCGCCCCTCCCTCCTCGTCGTCATCCGAATCCACCACCATCTCACTACTCTTGTACTTGCTCTGCTGCGCCTTACTACCAGACCGACGTTCCAGACGCCGGCGCTTCTTCGGCGCCGCCGCCGCTTCGCCATCGGAGTCCGGTTCCGAGCTCCTCTCTCTGGAAGGAGAATCGCCCCCATCATTGATGAAATCGTCCTCATTGCGCTTCTTCTTGCGCTTAGTAGACGTCGTCCTCTTCTTGCGCTTGACCTTAGCACCCGTCTCCGACTCAGTGGTAAGTTCCGCTTCCTCACGCGCACGTTCTTCTTCCGCGCGCTGCTCCGCCAGCCGCTGCGCTTCCTCGATCATGCGCTGCCGCTCCTCCGCAACGCGCTGTTTGCGCTCGCGCTCTGCTTCCTGCGCCTTGCGCACTTCTTCTTCGCGCTGGCGCTTTTCGGCTTCGCGCGCCTCGCGCGCTTGTTGGAGCTTGGCCGCGTTCTTCTCTTCGTATTCCTTTTGGCTTTGGAGCGCGCGCTCGAGTTGCTTGAGAATAGTGCGGCCCATGTTGGCGCGCTGTTCTAAGGCGCTAGACGGGTACGGTGGGTTCTTAGCCTGTGCCACGCGGTTGAAGGTCTCCACGGCTTGTTGGAGGCCTTCGGCGGCGTCTTGGACGTCTTGGACGGTCTTTTGCGTTTCCGGGAGGCCGTAGGTGAGGGAGGCGATTTGGTTCTGGACGAAGGCGACGTTGAATTCGAGGTGGACTTGGCCCGGAGCGACGGAGTGGGCGCGCTGCGCGTAGTCGAGGGCGGTTTTCATGGCTTGTAGGTTCATCTCTTGCTTGCCCTTGGCAAGCCAGACGCGGCCGAGGCAGGCGAGGATTTGTGCGTCGCGGGCGCGGTCTTTGGATAGGGCTGCTTCGTAGTGTTCGATCGAGCGGGTGTATTGACGGAGCTCGGCGTAGACGTGACCGAGGTTGAGGTAGACGCTGGCGTCGCGCAATGTGTCCCGGATCTTGGAGAAGATGTGGACAGCGGAAGCATGATCCTTTTTGTCGTCAACGAGTGCGATGGCGATACCCTGGGCGGCGTATGCATTGCGAGGGTCCAGTTGGAGGGCCTTGTCGAAGAATTCAACGGCCCGCTCGTACATTTTACGCCGCTTCTCTTTGTCCTGGTCGCTGTCGCGGCGCATGTCGCGCGCTGTGGACAGGTGGATGTTGCCCATGCCCGTCAAGGAGTACCGGTCGTGCTTGTCGTAGTATTGCAGGGTGTGTTTGTAGTGGCGCTGTTCGTGGTCTTCGGCCAGGTTGGCTGCCCGCTTCTTCGACTTGCTAAGGTACCAGCCGAACAGGGCGCGCACTTCCAGGTTGGTCGAGTCGGCCTCGTAGAGCTTGGCCATCTTCTTCGGTCCCTCGTCCGTGGGGCTCTGGCGCAGGGCGATGTACGTCAAGCGTGCATTGGCTTCGGTGTAGTCGGCGTGACGCTCCAGGAGACCCTGGTAGACCTTCTTGGCTTCTTCCGGCATGTCGGCTGCCTCGTAGGTTCGGCCCAGGTTGAAGCTGATGGTGGTGACGAGCGCATCGGTGTCGAGTTCGCTTTCCTTCTCCTTGGATCGGACGCAGGCATCCAGCGCTGCTTGGAACATGGTTCGGGCTCGTTCGATCTTCTCGGCTTGATACAGGAAGCATCCCATGTTGTTGAGGAGTTGCGGGGGAAGGTGGACGCGAAGAGCTGCCTTAACCTGCTCTTCATCTTCGACGCCTTCGGGGCGCTCTTCCTCTGCGACCTCTGCCAGCTGCATCTCTTCTAGCTGGGTGAGGCACTGCATGCTCTTCTCGGGAGCGCTCTGCTCGTACAGCCGGGCCAGGTACACCAAGACGGACTCGTCGGGCGAGATCTTCTTAGTCTCGTCCTTCCAGAGGGCGCGGACCGATTCCAGAAGGTTGATGGCCTTCTTGATCTCAACCGACTTGTCTTCCTTGCTGCCGCTTCTCTGCGCCGCGAACACCTCCTCCGCATGAAGCGCGCCGAGCAGGACCATGCATTCGGCATTCTTCGTCTGCTGAATGATCTTTTCGAGGCGGAACTTGGCTCCATCGAAGTCCTTGTTGGACACTTGCATTTGTACCGTGCCGAACTTGGCCGGGAGGTATCCCTTCTCACCACCTCCACGAGCCTGGTCGGAGCGGTTGTAATACTCCGCAGCACGCGTCAGGTCGCCTTCATAATGGGACTTCCGACCGAGGAGATACCAGCCGTCGCTGGCAATCTGCATGACATCGGTGTGTTCGATGGCCTTCCGGGCCAGGGTCTCAACGGTTGAGTATGCCTTCCGGAGGAGGAAGTACCCGCCAAACAAAGAGCAAGTCATCGGATATTCCTTGTCGATTTTGAAAGCCTTCTGTGTGTACTGTGTCATTGCCACCTTGTACAATGAACCGAAAGCCGGGTCTGTCGTAGCATGTCGTGAACTGTCGTAAAGATAGTACACTGCGAGGAGAATATTCGCAACCTTGGAGTCGGGGTTCTGTCTCGCAACAAAAGATCAAGAGATTAGCAAAGAAGGAACTGATACGTATGACATATGCGTGGAACTCACCAACGCCAAAGCTCGCTCCCAAGCGACCTTAGCCTGCTCTTTAAAGCCCAGCTGCCACAAGCAACTACCGATACCGATCCGCGGGTCGGGATCTGTCAAACTGGGCATCTTCATCAGAACCTTCTGGTAGCCCTCAAGAGCCTCGGCGTATCGCCCAAGCAAGTATTGCGTTCTCGCGCGTCCAAGGATAGCCATTACATTCCGACCGCCAAAAGCCTTGGAGGACTCATCGAAGCACTTGAGCGCCTGCCGCAGCGACTCTACCCTCTCGGATGTGTCAACGGTGCCCGGACGAACAGGACGGGGTGGATGTAGCGAGGCGCGCAGCAGCGACAAGACACCTCGCGCCAGGAATAGAGGGGGGAACGCCGGATTCAGTCGCGAAGCCTCGTTCAACGTCGACGTCGCAAGTTGGAGATAATGATCCTTCGTCTTCGCCTCGGTGTACAATTCTCCTTCGGGGGCAACGCGGGGGGCATTCCGACTCTTCAACATCAACAGCCAGCAAACCCATCCCAGCAGACCGAGTTTCTCTTTGGTAGCTCCATGGGCGACCGACGCGAGACCTTTGTTAAGGATGTCGATGGCATGATCGAGTTGTTTTTGCTTGGCGTACGCCAGCGCGATTGTGACCCAGAAGTTCTTAGCGGCCTTTTCATTCTCCAGCAGTGTGCAGAGTTCGGTTGGGTCATCCGGAAGAATCTCTAGGCTGACCTCGACTTCACTGTCAAGGGTGGACGCGGGAATGTCGATGGCGGAGGGAATGTCAGAAAAACGGAGATTGGGCAACGGGTTGGCCGCTGGAAGAGAATCGCCGTTCGTGCCATTGGCGTGGCCATTTTGAAGGGACGCCATGGCGTGTGCGGGTACTGCTTTGAGCAATGTGTTGTGTTGTAGATGGGCAATGGGGGGAAGGATTGCGACTGTTTCGGAGAGGTGAAAGGAGCTTGGCTCGTAGTTCAGCTCAACTCATGATCGGGATGAAACTAAACTGAAGCGGAGGATGAGAAGACGCGGGTGGAAGAAGTGCCTTCTTGCCGGAAGACTAGCAAGAAGAGCGCTTCGGAATTTGTAGCAGTCAGAAAGACAAAGGCGGTGGTTGCAGCAGACTGAGGTCGATGCTTTCTGAAGCGCTCCGGAGGTTTGGCATGAGAGAGAGAGAGACAGAGAGAGGCTGGCCGGGCCGAGTTTACACCGCCACCGCCCGCTTGCCAACTGTGGCTTGTTATTCACTCTCTCTTCTCGCTCTCCGCATCTCTGTGTTTACATGATAGTCATGTAATATTGTATTCGAAACAATAGATTATGAATGTTTTCTTGACTTTATGGTAATAGATGGCATGCAGGGGCTATCCTGCGTTGTATTAAAATCTTGTCAATAAATCGTGTTTCATCTAATACACCTGCTCGGTGTTAAATAATATGCATCACACCAGAAAGCTATAATAATATCGTCGGAGAAGAAATCAAAGACTGCCCGAAACCACGCCCAAATAAACACAATGGAGGGGAGAGGCATCTATTCGAGCGAGACCCATCACGCCAGTAACTAAAAACAATCATAACAATACTCTAAGCGCATATGCTCATGTCATGCAACGGGTTGGTTAGAGTGTCGGTCATAGCACACATATCGGCAACGTCGACTCAAGGCCGAAGAGGTCATTTCCACATCAAAATTCCAGTAGCTTGGGCAGTTTACAGAGGAACACCGTGCCTAGAAGCACCATGAAGATCCGGCCAACCTCGGCCCAGTGTCCCAACCGCACATGTGCTTCAGCATACCCTGCAGCCGCGGCAGTCTTCCGGTCCTCGAATCCATGCCCAACCTCGATAGACCCGGCCAGCTCAGACGGAAACCTCCCCGTCTCGTAGTATTCCTCAAGTAACTGATCCTTCTCGATCCAGCGCTCGCGGAGCCACGAGTCGAACTCTTGCTGATCGTCCAGAGGGATCTCGGAGACAGCAAACCGTCTCCAATGCATATTGACCGAGGTGGGCGGTCGCCCTTGCAGGTACGTCGACCGAAGAGTAAAGTACTTGTCAGGTAGACTACCCTTTCTGTTGAGGAAGTAATTAGTGGTGTGCTCATTCGCTTGCAAGCGAGCGCATCGAGTACTTACGGAGGTCCTTCGTAGGCTACGGTGCAGTCATAGACCCACTCCACCGTCCCACGCAACTGTTGCAGACAGAAAAACAAACCAGTGGAGCGAGGAAGCAGCTCATGCTTCAAAGGGGACAGTCCCTGCTTTGCGGCATACTCTGCACTCCGCCGCCTGGTGTTGATGGATAGGTTTGTCCCCTCGGGGAATATCAGAAGCCACATGGGGTCATATTGCGGGGACCCCGACTGCGATCCCGTATGCTGAGTCTTCAGCTTCTCCAATCGATGTTGCAGACGGGGCTTGTCGGACAACCATTTGCGAGCCATGAAGATAAAGCCGTAGAAGGTCATACCTTGGCCGATAATAGGGATGTACTTCAACGATTCCTTAAGGATGATGAAGATGCGTCCGTGCATCGTATTCGTGTATGCCACCCACCACAGATAGATCCAATCAGTATACACCTGGTGGTTGGCTATGAGAACCATTCGCTCCGGGAATTGGGTCTTTAAGCGCCCATCCTCTGCGACATGGACCTGACCCCGTACACTCCTGTCACCACTGACTCGCACAAAGGTAGGACAGCCCCATTGAGTGAGAGCCGTGATCACCAAGCCAAAGGACTGTTTTGTATATGCCATATAGGAGTAATACCAATCCTTGTTTATCACGTATAGAGGGGAGCCGATAACCTGGGTTGCTAGGATGGCGACGCAGCAGCAGTTGAACCATGTTGCCAGGAGCAAAGAGCGGAGGAGCTGCATCGCAATTCCATGCTTCAAACGTGGTTCCTCATCCTGACTGTCGGAAGACTGCTTCTTTGAAGAGGCTGTGTGATCCAGCTGGGGGTCATGCTTTCGTTGTCGAACCTCGGAGGTATCCATGATGAGAATCAGTTGTTGGCGACGAGGCTTTACGAAGGGACTTGCAGGCCGACTATATGAGGAAGGATAAAGTTCTAGATATAATGGAACTGGATCGGGCACTGATTAGCTTTCCCACCCTTGAATCACGCGAGCAACCAGATGCAGCACACTGTACCAGGAAGAGCGGTGTCTGCCGGAAGGCCAGCAGTGTTTGTTGTCAAGTCAAGAGGATCGGAGGGCAAAGGGATTAACGGAAGCCGTACCTACACCGGGGAGTAATGATAATGAAGAAGAAGTAAAAATGGAGTAGATTCAAGCCATATTTAGGGGGGGCGGGGGTACTTGAAAGAGAGAGAGAGACACGGGAGAGAAGTTTGGTTCCTGTCTGGAGGGAGCAGGAAGCTTGAGCCGGAGCACAGCTCTCTCAGTGTCTCAATAGTGTGTGGGCGCATGATCAAGATCTCCCAAGCCAAAACCCACTACGTCAGTTGGCCCGGCCCTCCCCTCAAGGCGGTCAGCGAAGATCCGGGGGGCTCGATCGGCATCACGCTTGCATGATTCTTGTCGACGCTTCGGAGAAAGACGAAATTTCTCCTCTGTGCATAGTTCTTTTCTTTTACTACATATATTTATGTTCTATGGACACTAAGATCACTAAAAATTTCAAGAATCTAAACGCAAATGTCTACTCCTCCCAACTAATCCTCCTGCATGTCAGGTCCCGCGCAACTTTCTCTCACATGCTCGTTTGGAACGATGAATCAGGCCTAGATTGATAATGTGAGCGCCTTAGTCCCAAGTTAGAAGCACTTCTCGAAGTGAGCTGATATCGGTCTTCTAGAATAGCGTGTATGGTCTTTTTCGATCTTATCCAATACTAAAAATGCATTTTGCAAGTATGCGACCACAGCTTGGTCAAGTCGGGCCTTCGGTTCGGATGCTTTGGTCACGGAGCTTTTCCTCCTCCCCACGACGCTACGAGATTAGAGACGTTGCAACTCTACCAAAACGACTGATACCAAAATATCAAGGTGTGCGTCAACGCAGTGTCGTCTGCGAAACATCCTGAAGCCCTCCCGTGGTATGCTGACCTGCTTGTGCGCCCCGAGCAGAATCCCAAGTGGGCGATCTCCTTTCCCTCCAATGGCCAGCACCCCCCCGGAATATCTTCGTCGTGAAGAAAGACTATTCTCCGGCTGTTACTGCCTCCTTGATTGAATTTGCCAAGTACGGAGTCCCGAAACCGGCTGACCGAGAAGTCATGGATGCTAACCACTCACCGGCAATCCAGTCACGCGACGTCTACCTACCCATCGGCCTCGATCATTCTAGAACCCAGTGTCGCAGAGGAGATACACTCATCACTTCAGTCGCCTGTTTACACCGCCCCTCTAGACCAACTACGACCGGCATTGCATGATAAGGTGGATCTCACCGTTACTCTCGGAGGAGATGGTACGATCCTACATGCCTCGTCCTTGTTTGCCACATGCTACAACGTCCCGCCGGTGCTGTCATTCAGCATGGGAACCTTGGGCTTCCTGAGTGAATGGAAATTTGCCGAATACAAGCGCGCATTCCGCGAGGTATACATGTCAGGAGCCGGAGTCGGGGATCGCGCGACGGTGCTGGGAGACCCCCAGCCAGCCTCGGTGGACGAAACGCTGGATCTGGAAGCGAATCCTACTGGATGGTCCTCAGTACGGGGGAAGTCGATGGGCTTGACGCGCGGGGCCCGGATCTTGATGCGCAACCGACTGAAAGTCGGGCTGTTCACGGCGGACGGCAAGCCAGTCCAACGGGAATCCACATCAGCGGCCATGCCAAACGTTGTGAACAACCAAGGAGTGTACGTTATGAACGAGGTGCTCCTGCATCGAGGCAAAGAGCCACATCTGGCCGTACTGGATGTCTATGTTGGGGGCCGGTTTCTAACGGAAGCCGTGGCCGACGGGATCATTATCTCCACGCCGACGGGTAGTACGGCATACAGTTTGAGCAGTGGAGGCAGTATTGTACACCCACTCGTGCCCGCGGTTCTACTGACACCAATTTGTGCGCGGAGTCTAAGCTTCCGGCCCTTGGTGCTGCCATCCAGTACCCCAATCACTCTCCGGCTGAGCGAGAAGAACCGGAGTCGCGAGTTGGAGGTCAGCATTGACGGGGTGAACCTAGGGCAAGGATTGACCGCGGGGATGGAGGCACGAGTATGGGACGAAGAGATGCGACATGGCAAGAATGAATGGCAAGGAGGCGTGCCATGTGTAATGCGAAGAATCACCGGTGGCGAGGCACACGATGGATGGGTTGGAGGCTTGAATGGATTGCTGAAATTCAACCATCCATTTGGTGAGGAACGCTGATAAAGATCGAGGTACTCACAGTGATTACACAGCACATAAGTATACCTATACAAGAATACCGAGGTGTGTGGCCTGGAAGAGGAGGAGGGTTGGGGGGGTGTTAGTTAATATGTAGCATAGTAATGACCAATTCTGTATGAATAGACAATTATTCCATAATGCCTTTTAGTCTACGAGATGCATGAAAGAATCCGTAGTTTCCATTCGCACATGCAGCAGCACCACAATTGACATGGACTGTTGCTGAAGCGAGCAGCTGGTCTGATCCAATCAATTCCAGTGCAGTTGGGTTTGACCTGGAACAAAAAGGGGCGGGAAACCAGGGCCCGCCGGTGGGCCTCCCTTTCTTTGCGACCCTCTCTCTACCCTCACTGGTGGCTGTCCTTTGACCAGGATTCTAGATGCAGGGCATGGGGTCTGTTTGGCTGGCTAGCTAGCTGGCTGCTGTGTAGTAGTTATGTTGGCGAGAATTAGGATTAAGATTTCATGATTACCCTCTTGAATTGATTTGGGACCGCAAGGAGACGCTGAGGAGCCCTGAATAGCCTCAAGACTAGGGAGGGTTTAAACAATAGCATGGCTTGTCGGGGCCATCCGCAGATGATGTAATTCCGTCCTGCCCATTAATCAATCTGATTCGAACCGACAAGCACTGCAATCCAAGTGGAGTGGCTCTGGCGTACGCTTTTTTCTGGCTCCCCTTAATCTGGGTCCCGTTGGCCAAGTTTCTATCTCCGATTTGACGCATGCATAGAAGTGAGTTAGTGGGTTTAGTGAGTTGTTGGAAGGAAAATCAAGCAAGTGACCATCAATCGATCAATATATAGGGATTGCGACAGTAAGGATGCACACTCCTCATTGCCAGAGGGGGCCAACGAATCAACCATTTATCGCTCAATTGGACTGACTCTTTCTAGGGCTGGATTGATACTTACTCTTATGCCCATCCATTCTATTGGATGTGAACTACTACTTGATTAATCGCTTCTCGTAGCTTTACTCGTAGTGAAAGGCGTAAGGGCCCTTCTCTTAACAAGCATGGAGAGGTTAATAGTGCATCCTCGCAATCAGGGGAGAGAAGAGTCCTGTTGTTTGCTGCTTCGGATTTAGCTTTGTATATGAAACCTCCCAAGACATGCCCACGACAATCCATTATGATCAAAGTCAAGGACCCATCGATCGTTGTTTGGTGACCCTCTCCTACCCTCTTTGTGGTCAACCAACAGGATTATTGAAGTAGTTCATTCCAGGGGGGGCCGAAGACAGTATAGTATCTAATACTACCTAAATCGTGGTTCTTTGCTTGGTTGCTTGTAGAAGTAGTCAATCCCTCCTCCGCTTCCTTGTCTTGTCTTTGCCTTTCCTACATCTCTTCCCCCCAACTTCATTCCATCTTTCGGGGCTTTTTTTTTCAGTGATTTGCTTCACACGATTAGAGAGGAAACCCATCACCACCCCCTCGAGAAATAGTAGTAATCTTGATGAGAATAGAGCCGTGCGCCCCTTGGAGCCGCGGGTGGTGAAACCTCGAGTGCCTTTTGTTCAACTCAACGGCCGGCCTTCCCTTTTTGCCGCCTCCTGTTGGTGCTCCTTCTAACTTCCTACTCCCTCCCTCTTCACCTTCACACCCTCTCCCTCTTCCTTCTTCTCTTCCCCTTCACGTCTTTCATCCTTCTTCCTCTTCCCCCTCCTCCTCATCTCTGTTTTCTGTTTATTCCCCTCTGTATCGCATCGTGACTCTCGTTTATTGTTTGCACACCCGCCACCTCCTTTTCATCTGAACCCTGGCACGCCTCGTGTACTCCCCTCTGCTATCGCCTGCATTTCTCCTGCATTGTGTACTTGGCCGCCCTGGTTGGTAACCGCTGGTCTCACCGCGCCTGGTAATTGGGGTTGTCCACCTTCGAGACGTGCAGTTCACGCTCGGAGCTTCTCGCGGGCGCGAGGCTTCTTTTCTGCGTGAAGACAAGCCTACTGTTACCCCTAAAGGTATGTTCAGATGTCAATTAGCTCTGGTCATTTTCCTTATCCCATCTTTATCATCATCCCACCGGCTTTGAAGTACG